ACGTCAAATAAACCTAAATTCAGAAATAAAACCTCAGATACCTTATAGTAGGAATTAAACCTCATAGTAGGAATTAAAAGCCTGTCTTCCATGGGTTCTACTGGGAATGAGAACTATACAATGTTCAGTTTTTCCTGGACATAATCTACTGCAGGAAATAACAACTTTCTAAATTATGCATTACCTCAAAATGTACCTTTAAAAAAATCATTTAAAAGGTTTGTGGTCTGACAGAAGCCCAAGATTCTTACAAGTCTTGCAACATTTTCCCTGGTATTTCTAGGAGAGTTATGTGCCTATGCCACAATTTGGTTACAGCTCTAAATAAAAATGCTGAATTGAATATTTCCTAGCTGAAATGAGGAAAAACATCATATTGTTCTTCATAGTCCCAAAGGTGCTTTTTTTCAAGACGCAACTGGACTTTCTGGTTTTTCTTTGAAGACGTTTCGCTTCTCATCCAAGAAGCTTCTTCAGCAGATGAGATGAGATGAGATGAGATGAGATGAGATGAGATGAGAAGTGAAACATCTTCAACAAAAAACAAAGAAAGTCCAGTTGTCTCTTGAAAAAGCACCTTTGGGACAGCCATGACCTGGATGACTGAGAATCTCCATAGACATTGTTCTACATACATTTTATGAAGTGGCTTAGAAAATACATGTACGTATATGGGATGATAATGGATATATGCAACATTTAAAATACAGCATTCATAAAAACAGCCTCCCTTCCCTCACAATGCTAGTCACCCTCTCTGTTGATGCCCAATCAACAAATCATTACAAGCCAGAAAAGACAGGCTAACTGATAACGTGGCCATAACAAGAAGAAATAGAACATCCTCCAGGGATTAGAGATTAACCCTCCTTTGGGACAAAGTCTTTTACTAGATCTGACTATGCTGATGCCTGATATAACATCAATCCTATAAAGAGAGGAAGAATAAAGAAATAAGCACAGTTTTTGTCCCAGAGATGCTTTTTTCAAGAGGCAACTGGACTTTGTGGTTTTTCTCTTTGAAGACATTTTGCTTCTCATCCAAGAAGCTTCTTCAGCTCTGGTGGGGATCCTTCCATTCCTTCCATTCCCCACCATCCAGTCAGAGCTGAAGAAGCTTCTTGGATGAGAAGCAAAACGTCTTCAAAGAAAAAAACCCCAAAGTCCAGTTTCCTCTTGGAAAAAAAAAAAGCACCTTTGGGACAACCATCACCTGGACGACTGAGAATCTCCATAGACAAGCACAGCTTTTAGATTAGTGACCTAATAGATGTCTTTAGGATTATAATCTCAGTAGCCTCAAGTTTGAGTATGAAGCCTTATATAAATCTATAATAAAGCATATAAAAGAATCCTTCGAAGAGGGAAGCTAGGCTGTCATATGATGTGCATGAATGCTGACATGCACCAGATGTTTAATTACTATTCTTCAAGATAACCCAGGTGCTTAAAACAGCCATTTCTGAGACGAGTGCTACAAGCCATAAACGTGCACCTTCAAACAATGCAGCCCTTTAGAGCAAGTTTTACAGCTTTCCAGTCTAACGTTTCTGTATTATTGTTCAAATCTAGCATGCTTCATTTTTTTTCACTAGTCTCTTCATTTATAGAGATTAGATTGTATCAGTAAAGGCAGATTCGATGTTAATTATTTGCTCTATGATGTAGTTTAAATATAGAATGATTTATAGCCGAGCTTTGGATCAATATTGGGGTGGGGGAAGAGAAAGCAAGCAACCATGAACAGCCTCGTTGTGTTCCTCCAGCAACCCTGAGCAGCAGCCTTGATTTTGATCGATCTGTTTTTAAAGAAAACGAGGCATGGTTCAACCATATATGATGCAGGGTTTTAATGTCTGGGAAAGATACAGGGCTCCTTCATATGACTGCATATTCCAGCGTGTGCAAGGACCGCAAATACCATACGAAGAACTAAGAAGAGATGGGGATGCTAATCGTCAAAGAGGAACGCACAAAAGCAGCTTGGGTATCCTTGTCCAGAGATAGGTGGTTGGTTCATCTGCTTCAGTTTTGTCCCTTCTGATTGGCACAAGAGATCACCAAGATTTCAGGAAGAGGTTTTCTCCATCCCTGCTTTTTCAGGTTCTTTTAAGTGACATTCTTCTTCTTTTTTTCCAGGACTAAACTGAGGGTCTTTTTCATGCAATGCAGGTGCTATTACTGAGCTATGGGCTTCTGGGAGCATTAATCCTACACCATAGTCTCTGACATTAAAGACAACTCAACAGTGGTGTAGTTAGTAGTTTTAGAACTCGGACTTAATGGTCTCAGGGGAGCTTTGCTTTAGCTAGCTATGTTTTAGCTCTCAAGTATATAATCATTCTTCTCTTCTGCTGCCATTCTATGTTTCTACAGCCATAATATTGCAGCATGAATTCATTCCCACAAACTAGAATCACTATCCCCGATTAATAAATACTCTAAGCATATACACTTTCACATTTTGAACTTATAAATCACTATTGTATCTAGAACAGAGGTGGGCTGCTACTGGTTTGCACCAGTTCGGGCGGATGTTAATTTTACATCTGGTTCGGCAAACCAGGAGTTCTGGTGATTGGCTGGCCCCGCCCACCTCACCCCACCCAGGAGTCCCCACGCAGCCCATTTTCGATCGCAGGTAAAAGCAGGGTCCGTGTGGAGGCTCGGGGTGGGGACAAAATGGGCCTCCTGGAAGTTCAGAAAGGCTCTGGAGCCCCTGTTTTCGCCCTCCCAGAGACTCGAAGAGAGCCTCTGGAGCCTGGGGAGGGAGAAAAATGGGCCTCCCGGAAGTTCCAAAAGGCTGGAAATGGGCCTGTTTCCAGCCTCCAGAGAGCCCGTTTTTGCTCCCAGGGTTGTGCAGGAGGCCAACTAGGCCATACCCACCATGGCGATGCCCACCCAGCAACCAGACAGAGAACCGTTTGCTAAATTATTTGAAGCCCACCCCTGGTCTAGAAGCATAAGAAGCTTACTCTGCTGTCACGTTAAACACATTTACCTGGAAATAGAATTGTTTAGCTTAAGCTGAAACATTTGCTGCTGGCCAAGATAGTCAAGGTGACCAGGTTGTGAGGTTTTCCACACAAAGCACAGATTGAGCTCTAGAGACAAACTGGGGTTCTAGCTACTCTCAGTAGGCTATCAGTAAAGATAATTCAGGCTTCCTTCTAAAAACTCCTCAAAATACTCGCAAACATGAAAATAACAAAGGTATGTATCTGCATAGTTTGTATGGAAATATTTCTTCCAAATAAATATGCTGCATTTGACACATCCAAAATTCAGAACAGTTTTTTCAACTTTTGCTGATAGATAACATAATACTATTTTTTTTAAAAAAAACCAACCCTAATGCTTTATAGAGAACCAATTTGGTATAGCGGTTAAGACATCCGCCTAGGAATTGAGAGATCATGAGTTCTAGTCTCACACTGGACATGAAGCCAGCTGGGTTGCCTTGGACCCAATCACTTACTCTCAGTCCAAGAGAAACCACAGATTCATGGCACCTGATCATAAGTGCCCATCTTGGAGATTTAGTTAAAATTGCATTTTCTTTGAATTCCTAGAGCAAGGGTCTTCAAACTTGGCAAGTTTAAGACTTGTGGACTTCAACTCCCAGAATTCCTGAGCTAACATGACTGGAGGAGGAATTCTGGGAGTTGAAGTCCACAAGTCTTAAAGCTGTCAAGTTTGAAGACCCCTGTCCGAGACAGTGGGAATTCTTTTGTGTGTTTTCAAGGAACAATAGCAAGATCTTCCTATATAAAGGGATTGCTGGGCAGGGCACCTCCAAGCAGATGATCTTCTACTGTCCTCCCAAAATAAACTTCACCCCTGCTTCACGCAATTGCCTCTGTTCTGTGTTCTTCATTTCCTGTTCAGAAACAAACTTCACTTCTTTTTAGCACTACCTAATGTCTGGATGGGAAAACCATATAGTGGTAGTCATATCCATAATGTCCAGCTTGTCGAACATCATGGCAACTGTGCTGTCCAGCCAGTATATAGTTAATGGGAAGTGGGATAGTTAGTTAGGAATTGGGAACTGTCCCCTTAAGGGAATGCATCATGGTAAATGTAGTTAAGGTATCCTGGGAAATGTAGTCCATGTCATGTGGCCACATCTGCAATCCTGATTGGTCACTGAATTGATCCTTGGTAGGTTGGAGGAGGTTTCTCCACTCTTGCCTGGAACCCAGCAACATGCTACGGCCTCAACCCCTTGCTCCTTCATTTTGGGGATGAAAGATTACGATCCTTTTACACCAGAAAGTCAGCTATACAAAGAGTTGAACATTGAGATGAATCTCGACTTTAAGTTATATTGAGGATACCTGATGAAACAATAAAAAGACTTTGTATGGATGCTTTGTGGAGTTATCTATCTGCCTTTATACATTCAGACAGCAATTATAGAGGACAGAATAGCAACGGTATAATACTTTAGTTCTCAAGACTTCAGGTATATACAACTTCGTCCCTCTCCATGCAATCCCATTGCGGATATCACATTGCATTCGGTGTTTTGATATCCACATGTCCCCTTTTAGAGCATTTGGCACAAGGAGCATTTAGCACAAGGTGAGAGAGTTGAAAAAGAACCAGTTGTAGCAAAGGTAGAGAATGAAAATGAAGAACTTGGCCTGTCAAAACAAGATAAAAAGAAGAAAGGCAAGAATAAAAAGGCTAGCTTAGAGGACAAAGATGGCAGTGAAGAAATGGAAGACAAAGAAAAAAAACTTTAAAAGTTTCTCAAACCCAAGAAAGAACTACTCTCCAACAGTGATGATGATGATGATTTTGATTTGAAAAAAAGGAAAGGAAAAGTTCAGAAATCAGGTAATAAACACAATTTTTCTGAAGAAGATGAAACTGGCATTGTGAAGAAGAGCAAAGAGTTGGCACAACCTGTGTCCTCAGGTGAGAGTGAAGATGAATTGGATGAAGGTTTGTGTGCAAATCTGCAAGTTTTCAAAGGCCGGCTGAGACTTGATAATTTCACAGCTGTAGGCTATGCAAGGCAAGAAAATCATAACAATAATTAGAGAAGACGATACCAAATCCTTCTGCATTTTCTTGAGAAGCTACATAGATGTGTCATGAAACTGAGACTTTCTTTTCTATAAATATGTAGATATTCATCTAGCCATCTAAGAAAGCACTTTTTAAAAAAGCAGCATTTTCCTATGTTGAATTAATTCTACTGTCATGATGAAGACATGGCAGCACTGCACACAGCTGAGTTCCTTCAATTTCCCAAAGGAACGTTTTATTTGCCTACATTAGACTCTTCACTTTGGGGAACTATAATTTGGGAAACACTTCTGCCTTAATGGTATCTTAACGGAGCATCATGCCTTAAATTAAAATGAGGTTTGAAAGATCAGGCAAACCCTAAAGACAAAGAAGCTAATGCTACCTCTCCTGAAGTAGGAGGGTATCACTGGGCTACTAAAATCAATATTCACAAAATAATTTTCATAGAATCACAGATCTTGAAGGGGCTATTTGAATCCTTGAAGCCACCCTCTGCTCAACGCAGGAATCCATATCCCAAGACTAGACGAAGATCTATTCAAGGAATCACATTTCTCTATATAATTGATTCCATTATTGAACACATTTTATTACTAACAAATACTTCATGCTATTTATTAGAATCTTCTTTTGGTGCAGTGCAATGGTGGGATTCAAATTTTTTTACTACCGGTTCTGTGGGCGTGGCTTGGTGGGCATGGCAGGGGAAGGATACTGCAAAATCCCATTTCTCTCCCCACCGCACTAACCTGCTTTCCAGCTCTGTTCTTCTGTACAGGGCAACCAAAGAAGGCCCAATTGATCAGCTGGGACTCGGGAGGCAAAGAATAGATGGGGTTGGTGGGGCAGTCAGAGGTGGCATTTGCCGGTTCTCTGAACTACTCAAAATTTCCACTACCAGTTCTCCAGAACTGGTCAGAACCTGCTGAATACCACCTCTGGTGCAGTGAAGGCCAATCTACAGTCAAGAATCTTCTAGTGGTGTTAGCATCTCAAATAATGCAGACAGGAAACACAATAAGATGGACTGACTCTACTTAATTTTATTTTAAAATTACATTGACAAGTCTGAAGGTACCAATCTCCTGCTGTCTCTTTTTACTGCTCAGTATATTAGAGCAGATTGTGTTTGCACAACACTGGAAAAATGCGGAAACTCCTACAGATGAAAATATAATAAAAGATATTAGATTGTGCGGAAATGAATAGGTTAACATTACAGATAAAGGATAAAGAAGACACAGGATATTTTTAACATGGGATCTGTTTTACCAATGGTTAGATAATAGAGCTAGAAATTAGAAGTTGGAAGAATATCACTATATACAAGTAAATGATATTATTATTACTATTATTATGTAAAACTAAATTGACCTAGACAGTACACTGTTTACTAACCACTTATGTATGTTAAAGGAAAATTGATAAATAATTTAAAAAAAAAATATTAGAGCAGATTCTTTCTAGGTTTCTTTTTCTGCTCATTACTCAGTCGTGAGCTCCTCCCCCTTTTAACTATTGGTTTCTAGGAAGCATCTCTCCCACCCAAACCTCCACATCTTCCACGGTCATTCTCACATTCCATTACAGATACAATATTCTCACGGTGGAATCTAGTTACGATTACCTTACAGGTAATGCTCGAATTACAACCAATTCCTTTAGCAACTCTTCAAAGTTACAATGGCATTGAAAAATATGACCTGTCATTGGTCCTCACATCACAGCGTCTCCATGGGTCACAGGATAAAAATGTGGGTGCTTGGTAATGCCATGAATTTATGGCAGCTGCTGCATCCCCATCAATGGGGGAAGCCAAGTTCAGGTAACAACTGTGTCAGGGTTCCAAGTCCCATAGCAAGCAAAGCTCCAAGGCAGGTGAATTCCTTAAAGAATAACTTTATTGAAAATATCATATTGGCACAGATCTGGTGAAAACCGACTCTGAAGGTTCCCATAGTTTTCACCTAATTAAAAGAGAAAGTTTTCCCACAACCCCAAACAATCAGTCACATGGTGCAATCAAGGTGCTGTCTGGTTGTCTGGTGACCTGACTACTCCTTTCACAGTCCAGGTGTGAGAATGTCCTTCGTTCCCAAGAGAAAATATTTTATTTTGGCTATACAACCCCAGCAATCTCTAATTCCCCCGCTCCCTATCCCTCAGTTCTAGCATGGCAACAAAGAAGCTCCAAGATGGCTCCAGTCAGGTCAGCTTCAGGGTTGACGGACTACATTGCTCACTTAACAACTGCCATGATTCACTTAGTAATATTGGCAAAAGGAACAAGCCCAATTCCCTTAACAGCCACCTTGCTTAGCAAAAGGCATCCCGGTCCCAATTGCGGTCAAAATTTGATGACTACCTGATGAAGAAACAGCAATAATGATGTAATACAGTTAGCTTTACTTTCCACAAAATAGCTCTGAGAGATACCAGGCCTAGGCAGGAGTGGGATTCAGTCAGAATGGCCCAATTCGGGAGAACCGGTAGTTCCTGCATAAAGTTGGCCCTGCCCACCCGCTCCTGCCTTAGTCTGTCCTATATTTTCTTTGTCTGAAGACCAGCTGATAGGCATGGCAGAGTGGATTGCCACGCCTCAGCTGTTTACTCACTCGGACTTCAGTAGAAGGTAAGTTTTACAGCTTTTTTCAAATGGTCTGTGCACATGTGCAGTGCGCATTTGGCCTGCACATGCTCACCGAATTGGTTGTTACATTGGTTGAATCCCACCACTGCCTTCAAGGGATTTTGCTGAGCTGCTAGGTCTTTGTGCCAATGCCAGACATATTTTTCTTTTTCTTTATGAATGAAGTGACGATTACGTGAGAAACAGCTTTGGTCACGCTGCTCCGATTCTTCCTTATAGACACCACTTATTCTTAACTGTGCAACTGCAAAACGTCACCTCCATGAAGAATACAAGGGAGTATCCTAAGAGCTCCTTGTGCATCTGCAAAGCAGCTCAGTTGGGGGAGTTCAAATGAAGTCACAATGCATTATCTTATGTTCAGCAGTCTTCTTGACCCCACTAAACATTCTCCTTTGCAACATTGGCAGAGGGAAGGAAGATGAAGGAGAAGCCAATTTCACATACAATTGTCAGGCTTCCTACCCACTGTGGTTTCTCCTGCTGCCTTGAAGAAAATGGCATGTAAAGCAGGAGAGAGAATTGCTCAGAACATCAGACGGGAGCATCTGCGTATCTGAATGTTGGAATGACACTGTGTGCTACTTTGAGCTTCACAAAGGCAGTGCTGAGTAAGAACAAGGAGTATAAAAGAATGGAGATGGGAGTTACAGGCAGTTAGGATTTAACTAGCAGAACACTTGCCTCGTAGACAGAAGGAGTCTGCTATCAAAAATAACAGGCAAGCAAGTATTTGGAAAGATCTTACTCCTGACATCTGGGAAAGATGCTGCAATTCAGACTAGATAAGGCAAATATTCTGATTTGGTGGTAAAATAGCTTCCAAAATACATGAATGGCATTCCCCTGGGATGTGGGATTATGCTGAGCAGTGCACAATTTAATTTCCTATGGCTTCCACTTAAAAAAAAAAAAAGAGATACAGACAGAAGCAACTTGCCCAAGTACGTGAGGGAGGGAGGGAGGGAGGAACGAAGGAAGGAAGGAAAAGAAATGAACATCTGAAAGATTGCTGGCTCATACTTTTAATCAAGTTTCCACCTTTGCTTGCTTTTCGCCTACTCAAAAAATATTTCTCCCTGCATGCAACAAAGCACTTAAAAGAGAATGCAAACCTTGAAAGAGAGAGGGGAAAACCATGCCCCCTTTTAACATGCAGAAGTACTATCTAATGTAGGGGAAAGCATGTATTATTGTACTCTATGACATTTAAAAAAAAAACACAAAATAAACCAACAAAACAAAACCACACAATAATAATAATATAACAACCATGGATAAGAAAAACAAAAAAAATTGGATAGAGGACTTTGCAGAACCTGTAGACAGCAGAATAGAAGAAAAAGAACTGGAGAAAATCATAAAAATCTGCAAAGAGAAGTAGAATGACTACAGCCAAAGAAAGCAAAGGTAGTGCCAATAGTAACAGGGGCCTTGGGTGCCCTGGAGCACCACTTGAATGCCACTGGAATTGACAATGCCACCATCAGTCAATTGCCAAAAAACAGTTTTATTTGTAACGGCTTACATTCTGAAACAATATCTTTAAAACCACCAAACCACGTCTATCCTGGGAGAGGTCCTTGGAAAGGACTTGATAGGTGGATAAAAATGCCAACTCGGTTTAAACATCATGGGTTTACAGTGGCACAGCGGCTTAAAGACACTGGGTTTGTCAGTCAGAGATGGTCAATACTCTGGCAGTTTGAGTCCATGGCATTGCTTGGTGGAGTGAGCTCCCATCATTTGCCCCAGCACATGATTTTAGTGTTTTCCCTTGGTAATTAATGTCAAATAAGACAAAAGTTGCTTTCCAGCCCTACCTTTTAACCTGAAAGTCAAGGTCTCTAATTAGTCCATATGAGAGCCGTGGTGGCACAGTGGTTAGAATGCAGTATGGCAGGCTAACTCTGCCAACTGCCAGCAGTTCAAAGTCTCACTGGCTCAAGGTTGACTCAGCCTTCCATCCTTCTAAGGTCAGTAAAATCAGTCCCAGTATTGTTGGGGGCCATATGCTGATTCTGTAAACCACTTGGGGCTGTAAAGCACTGTGAAGCAATATATGTGCTATTGCTATTGCTGTATGAAAACAGATTAGAGAACCCAGTGATGTATGCACATGTGCTCCAGAAGTAATAATAGTGAGACTTTGCTAAATAGTTTTAGTTGTCAAACCAATGGATTAAATTTGCATATGGGAAAACATACTGGAAAAAAATGTTTAATTTATTTGGTTTCGGGTGATACATGCATTTACTTCAACCACTATCACTTTAAAAGAGGTTTTTTTTTCATGCTTTCAAAGTTCTGGAAGTTCAGTAAGA